CAAATGTTGAAGTAGAAATTGTTGATTGCCCTGATTTAACACAAGAACCATTCGCACTTTCTGCTCCAGGTAAAATAAATTATATAATTTTTTATATATAAAACTTTTTTTTTGTATTATTTTAAATTAATATATGAATTTTAATATTTAGGATTAAGTGGTAATTCAACAGTGTTAGAAATTGGTGGTCCATCATTTCTTCTTCCTACTGTACAAAAAAATAAATTATATGATATTCAACAACTCTTAAATCATTTACATTATAAAGAAGATTCTTTTGTTATTGGGGCAGGGGCTGGTCCATGGCCATACATAAATTCTAATTGTGAGGTAATAATCAAAATTTATATATAGATCTCAATTAGTAATTAAAATATAAGAGAAAATTTTTATAGCTTATAATGAATATGGTTGTTTCATTATCTAATGTACAAAATGGAACTTATATTTCATCTGTCAATAAAGCAAATGGAAATTGTGAACTTCAAAATTTGCCTAACAATGAAACGAGATTTGCTTTGTTAGCCAATTTATTTGTCACTGAAGGAAAACCTGGTAAAGTTTTAAAAGTTCATGTTAAAAAACGTATTGGAAATGATGATTTTATTGCATGTATGCAAAAAGCAATTGCTCAAAATTATCACAATAATCTTGTTGGTAAGCAGAATTTTTTTGATTAATAATTATATCTAACAAAAAATACAATTAAATATTTGTATAACATTTTTTCAACCATAGGATTAGGAGGAACATTTTTAATAAAAAATGGAAAAGTCAAACAGCATGTTATGCCAGATTTCTCAGTAACTCCATTACGTACTGAAGCACAACTTAATAATTGGTTACACTTTTATAACATGTCAACACCTTTAATAGCTGTTGGTACATTTGTTAGTTCTGAAAGTGTAAGTAAAATCATATGAAATTAGATATTTTATAATTGTAGGAAAACGTTTAAACTGTATTGATAAAAAATAATTTGAAATTGTCTTTAGTCTATCCTATTATATACTGTTACATGTATTGTTCCATAACATTATTCCATTTCATTGTTTATAATTTTAGGATTTAGATCTTCGTGTTCAACATTTTCACAGTTTTTCTCATCATGGAGAAGGTGGCCATTATCATATTGATACAACTCCAGAAACTATAGAATATTTGGGATATTTCAATTTAGGTACTACACTTTATCGTATAGATAAACCACTAACTGGTATAGAATTTGGAAAGGACTAATTACATTGTTATATGTACATTTTTATAATATTCAATATTTGTAATATTCAAACAAAAGTTATGCATAAATAATTATAATATTGCAATAAACTTATAAATATATTTCTTTTATAATTGAATAAGAAATAAATTATATTAATTTTAATAACAAAATTATAATATTACTTTAATTCAAAAATAATTATAAGGAAAAATTGAAGTAAATAAACGAATCTATTAATTGCATAAATATCATAATATACTTAATATACAATTCATTTAACAAAAGATCTAAAAATCCCGATTACTTATGTGAAATTAAAATAATAAACTTATTCCAGTTATATTATTATTAATTAAAAAGTTAATTAATAAATACATTAATTAAAAAGTTTCTTTCGAGTAAAATTAAAACGAATAACGTCATTTTAACAAATTTGATCTTATAATTAACATTTTTTACTTTAACATTCAGAATCTCAATCCAATCGTTACATTTTCCAAATCTTCCTACCAGTATTAATCTCTCGTAAACTGTTTGATATGCAAAGCTGTATATTAATTCTATCAAACAGCAGATGTATTAGTGATAGACGGTAGTATACAGCAAAAGTCTCATTCAGTATTGTATCACGGATCATAGCTTTAAAGTAGCCCAATAATGAAGTTCAGCATTGAATCCACTGCTTCTTATAATAGTATACATCCAGCATACCATTACACAGAACAATTTGCTAATAATGCTGAAACGTATCAAGAGGGTACTAAATGGTTTGGAATATTTTTGGCATTTTTATCAGGTACATTTTTTACAATTAGTTCTGCCTTAGTCAAAGCAGTACAAAATGTACATCCTATGGTATTGCTGACTATCAGATCTGTTTTACAAATGATAGTTATGGCTGTTGTAGCATTTAAAGTTTCTAAAAATCTTTTTGGACCCAAAGGACAAAGAATGCTTTTACATTTACAAGTATGTTAATTATGAATAAGATTTATATTTCATATATTAATAAACAAAAATAATCTGATAAAGTATTTTATCTTTTTTCTCAGGGAATAGTAGGTGGTGCAACATTATCATTGTTATATTATAGTTTTCGCAAATTACCGATAGGAGATGCTACAACAATTATATTTAGTTCTCCAGTGATTGTAATTGTATTATCTTTCATTTTATTAAAAGAACCTTGTGGAATATTGCGCGTAATAGTTATGTGTGCACTTTTTGCAGGAGTTATTTTTGTATCTAAACCACCTTTTTTATTTCAGGTAAAAGTATATAAAGAATAATATTTTATAAAATTTCTATAAATCAACAATTTGACATAAAATATTTCTTTCTTTAGATACATAGAGCTGAATCATACAATGTGATGGGATATGTATGTGCTATTTTAGCAACTTTTTTTACAGCTCTTAATATAGTTATTATGAGAAAATGTTCAGAAATTCATTACTCAGCAATTATCTTTAATCTATCTTGGTGGTCACTTGTTACAGCAGTATTTTTTTTCTTTCTTGTATCAGATAATCAAGAACAAAAATCAAAATTTCCACATGATTGGATTACTTGGAGTAAAATATTGTTAATAGCACTAACTGGATTATCAGGTCAAATTTTAGTAACTAATGCATTAAAAATAGAAGGTGCTGGAAAAGTATCAGTGACTAGATCTTTAGATATTATTTTGGCTTATATTGTACAAATATATTTTTTTGGAGATCAACCTACATCAACTAGTATTATTGGAGCATTTTTAATCATAATCTCTGTTATATGTATGGGATTTGAGAAAGAAATTTATAATGTTTGTGATTTTATTCCCTAATTAAAGATACAGTATCTTAAATTATTTACCTGCATAAACATAGATAATATACATATTTTTATGAATGGTGAAAACGTTATTATACTACTATTATGATTTTCATAATATAAAGTTTCAAGACTTTATACAATATAATATTGAATTATATGAAAACTACCATTCATTTACATAATTTTTTAACCGCATGAATTTATATACCTTACATAAATTTTCATTCAAACTAAAAATAAAAGTATCAAGTATTTAATAGTTAACTCAACAAACTGATTAT